CTTTCTAGGCAAGTTGTAACTCAAACATAATTCAATGTGCTATCGATCCAAGGCTTAGGAGGTAGCCAGATTTTGGAGTCATCCTTAGAAGAGTGGATTTAAAACTTCTTCTGGTGCGCCTGGTTTACTTTGCTATCATAGTAGCACCAAGGCTTTCAGAGTCAACTGAATTGTCAGATGTCCCTTCCTTCTACAGTCTGCACTCAAAAAAAAAAAAAAAAAAATCAATCTGCAGGCTTCTCTGCTGCCACCCCTTCTTATGGTGCTTCCTGCCACCAGACACCTCTAAAACATATTCTGAAAGATGTTAAAAATAATCTCAACCAAGTTAGTTTCCCCACTTCAGCCTACCTTAATACTTTCCCCAAAATGCTACTGCGGGCTCCAGGCCTTGAAGTTCCTGCTGCTCTTTAATAACTCTGCTTAATAGAAGCCAAATGATGAAGTGTCTCGCTGTCTCCAGTCCAATTCCCTTGGGCTTTTAGACCAAGTAACCTAATTTTTTGTGAATTCACACACACTGTCATCCCGCATGCTATGGAAAAAAACCTCAATCATTTTCTAAGCGTTCTATGTGAGGTCTTCTGCCTAGCCTCTCCGAAAAAATAATTTTCATCATCTTCTCACTGTACAAGAGTTAAAAATAAGATGCAAACAAGGAACACCACCAGAGCTGACAGTCCTTTCATGAGTCTCAGCACAGCACGGGAAGAAAGTGCAACAATACACATACTTCCATTATAACTGCTTATACAACTCCACTCAAAAAATCTACATTTTATGCACCCAAGACAATCTTATAAACAAAATCTGACAGGCCAGACATCAGGTTAATTCAACTGCTTTTTAATTAAAGCCACGTTTTCGGTGAAACAGAATGGACTTTGTATTACTGTATTAAAACTGTATTTCTGTCAATTCATAAAGTTTCTTCCTGTGCTATGCAAAAGGCCAGAAAGGGTATTTAGTATTTTGAAACAGCGAACAATGCCCTTCTGTTCCCTCCTCTTTCTTGTTACTGTATGTAGCTATTAAAGAAAAATGTCTGCTTTTAGTCAAGATGGCTACAGGAGAGACTGCAGGCTTCCCTTAAAGCTTTTGAAGTCAACAGCAGCCAGAAGTCTGTGATCCCCTAATTATATCATTATCAGGCACATAGTTTCAGTATCTGCGACTTCACATCACTCAGTCACTCCCTGTTCTGCCCGCTTTGATGGGGCCAGCAGGCTCCCCCCTGCACGCTGCAAGGGCTGTTATTTAGGGCTAATTACAGCCTGCCTTCCAAAATAAATAAATACCGTCGCACATCATCGCGGCGCTACCTTATCCGTTGCCCTCCTCTCCGGAGCACGGCGATTACAGGCAGCCGGCGGGTCGCCTCTGCCCCGG